TCACTTCAAAGGGGGAATCGGTTCCCCTTCAAGGGGGTATCGATTCCTCCTGCACCAAAATGCTAAAAATCTGATTTTAAACACTAAAATGCTAAATTAATCTGTTCTAGTGGTATTGGCAACTCATATATTGAAAATTAATCATGTTCAATCAATCAATTTTATCCTTAAACAACATTTGAACATATAATTAATTCTCACCAAAGATCATAAACTCCCCCTAACTATTAGCATGGAATGCATTCAAAAATGTTATTTTATAAGCATTTTCAAATCGAATTAAAAAGTGCTAAAATTATTTTAAACACTAAGTGAAGATAGGTCAGTTAAACCTAATTCTCTCCTAAGTGTCTAAAATATTTCTTTGTCTAAAGGTTTTGTAAAGATATCCGCTAATAGATGCAAAGTATCAACAAATTCTAGAACTACATCTTCCTTAGCAACATGGTCTCTAATGAAGTGATGTCTAATTTCAATATGCTTAGTTCTAGAGTGTGATGGAATTTTTAGTGAGACAAATATCACTAGTATTGTCACACTTGATAGGAATGGTACCTACTTCAATTCCATAATCAAAAATTTGTTGTTTCATCCATAAAATTTGTGCACAACAACTACCGACTGAAATTTATTCCGCTTCAGTGGTAGATAATGCAACACAATTTTGTTTCGTTGAAAACCAATAAATCAACATATTTCCAAGTAATTGGAAAGTACCGGAGGTTATTTTCCTATCTAATTTGCATCCTCCATAATCCGCATCAGAGAAGGCATGCAAGCTAAAGCTAGAGTCTCTAGGATACTAAATTGCTAAAATAGGAGTGTCCTTAAGGTATCTAAAGATTCTCTTAACAGATAGTAAATGTGATTCCTTAGGACATGATTGAAATCTAGCACATAAGCAAACACTAAACATAATTTATGGTCTACTTGCGGTTAAATAAAGCAAATAGCCAATCATTGACCTATATAATTTAACATCCACACATTTACCTCCTTCATCTTTATCAAGCTTTGTTGATGAGCTCATTGGAGTGTCATGAGGTTTCCCATTTTCCAGTCAAAACTTCTTGAGCATATCTTTTACGTACTTAGCTTGATTGATGAAGATGCCATCTTTTCTTTGCTTGATTTGGAGTCCCAAGAAAAATGAGAGCTCCCCTATCATGCTCATCTCGAATTCACTTTTCATTAGCTTAGAAAATTCTTGGCAAAGAACATCATTAGTAGAAATAAATATTATATCATCAACATAAATTTGAATTACTAATAAATTTTTACCTTTATGCTTTAAAAACAATGTAGTGTCAACATTCCCTTTTAAAAAACCTTTTTCAATTAAAAAGTTTGACAATCTTTCATACCAAGCTCTAAGAGCTTGTTTTAAACCATAAAGAGCTTTTGTCCATTTAAGAACATGATTTGGAAATTTTAAATCTTCAAAACCAGAAGGTTGTTCCACATACACTTCTTCTTTTATAAAACCATTTAATAATGCACTTTTAACATCTATTTGATATAATTTAAATTCATTGAAACATGCAATTGCTAATAACATTCTAATTACTTCCATCCTAGCTGCGGGAGCGTATGTTTCATCATAGTCTATGCCTTCTTCTTGAGTATACCCTTGAGCAACAAGTCTAGTCTTGTTTCTCACTATATTACCACTTTCATGAAGTTTATTTCTAAATACACATCTAGTACCTACAGTAGATTTATTACTAGGCCTTTCAACTAATGTTCATACTTTACTTCTCTCAAATTGATTTAACTCTTCTTGCATAACCATAATCCAATTTTTATCATTTAATGTTTCTTTAACATTCTTAGGCTCTATGCATGAGATAAATGCAACATAATTACAAATATTTCTAAGAGAAGATCGAATTGTTACCCCTTTGGATGGATCACCTATTATTTCACCATCCTTGACATAGTTGTATTCCCTTGGGTAAGAGACTTCCCTTTCTTCAATGGTTGGATTCTCAAGAGGATCTTGAGTTTCCTCATCTTTCGTTTCTTCTTTTGATGATGGTTTTCCAACGTCATGTCCAACGCCATTTATGTTTATAATACCTATATCATCATTCACACAAGAATCATTCCTTGGAATGGGATTATCATCGAAAACAACATGTATAGACTCTTTTACAACTAAAGTTCTTTTATTAAATACCCGATAAGCTTTAGAATTTAAAGAATAACCCAGAAAAATTCCTTCATCACTTTTAGCATCAAATTTGCCAAGATTGTCTTTACCGTTGTTTAAAACAAAACATTTATATTCAAAAAGATGAAAATAGCTAATGTTAGGCTTCTTATTTTTAAAAAGTTCATATGGAGTTTTCTTCCAAATAGGCCTAATCATTACTCGATTAATAACATAACAAGTGGTATTTGTGGCTTTCGCCCAAAAGTATTTTGGCAAATTGTTTTCACAAAACATGGTTCTAACCATTTCTTCTAAAGTTCGATTTTTCCTCTCAACAACTCCATTTTGTTGAGGGGTTCTAAGTGCTAAAAAATTATGGATAATACCATTATAATTACAAAATTTAGTAAATCCAATATTTTCAAACTCAGTTCCATGATCACTCCTAACACTAGTTATAGAGTAACCTTTTTCGTTTTGATTACTTTTGAAAACGTGATAAATTTTTCTAATGCTTCATCTTTAGTACTTAAGAATAGAACCCAAGTATATCTAGAATAGTCATCTACCAAGACAAATGCATATTGTTTTCCGCCCAAGCTAGTAGTCCTAGATGGCCCAAAAAGTTCTAAATGGATCAATTGTAATACTCTAGTAGTGGATACGTCATTAATTGATTTAAAAGAAACTCGCTTTTGTTTTCCTTTAGCACAAGCATCACAAATTTTATCATTATCAAATTTTAGTTTAGGCAACCCTCGAACTAAATCTCCTTGAATTAACCGTTACAAAACACTCATACTAGCATGTCCTAGTCTCCTATGCCATAACCAACTATCATGCTCATCCTTAGAAACTAGGCATAAATTAGTCATATCTATAGAATCTAAATGCACCATGTAAATATTTCCTATTCTATGACCAACAAGCACAATTCGATTAGATGCAATGTCAATCACTTTACAACCATTAGTATCAAACATGACATTAAATCCCTTATCGCACAATTGATTAATACTCAATAGATTATGCTTTAATCCATTCATATATAAAACATTCTTAATTTGTATGGAAGATGTATTACCTATAGTGTTTATACCTTCAATGTGACCTTTTGAGTTATCACCAAAAGTTGCTTCACCTCCATTTTTGGCGTTGAGCTCTATGAATCGATTTTTGTCTCCGGTCATGTGTCTTGAGCATCCACTATCAAGATACCATGAGTTTGAATTTTTTCCCGTGCCTTGTAGCATTGCTCTTTTTCCTACAAACATAGATTAATTTTTGATTTTTGGTAACCAAATTCATTTGGGTCCATATTCATTAATTTCCAAAATCCTAGTCCCCTTAGGTATCCATTTGTGTAGGATATCCTTATCTTTAGTAGTAATGAGTTCTTTAGGAACCCATATACTTCTAACGATTTTTCCATTTAAGGTTCGTTGAGGACCTCTATGATTATAGTTTCTAAAACTTTTTCTAACAAAGTTGATTTTTGAATTTTTTTCCTTTTTCAAAACGTTTTGATCCAACTTTATCAAAAGAAGCTTTAAGATCATCAATTTTCTTTTGATGATCATCATTGACTCTTGAAAGTAGATTATGCAAATCAATATTTTTCTTTTCAAATTCATTTAATTTGATTTGCAATTTTTTGATCTTACTTTCATGATCATTGTTGGTTTTGGAGATAAGATTATTTTCACTTTTTAATTTTGAAATATCATTTTTGTATTTTGAAAATAAAGTCTTATAATCCAAAGCCAACCCATTATAATCCTCTAATAACTTATCATAAGATAATTCATCCAAATCGAATGAGTTAGAGGTTACATTAGAATCTTCCCTGAATGCCATCAAGCACAAGTTTGCTACTTCTTGTTCCTCTTCATTGGAACCTTCTTCATCGCTCCATGTAGCCACATGAGCCTTGTGCTTATTCTTTTATTGGCTCTTTCTCTTCAATTATGGGTAATCATATTTGACATGCCCCGACTTTTTGCATTCATAGCAAATGATCGGGTCCTTCTCTTTTGGTTCATTCTTGAAGCCTTCATTCCGTTTGAATTTTCTTCCTCGGTTTGGCCTCATTAACTTTCTGAACCGTTTGGCAAACAATTCATTTCCTCGTCATCGTCATCTTCATCTGAATCACTCTCATCCTTTGTTGATTTGAGAGCAACTCCTACGTTCTTTTTCTTCTCCGTCTCCTTCTTTGGCTCGTCTCTTTTCTCGAGATCTTCCTCTTCTTTAAGAATCATTTCATGTGTGAGAAGAGAGCCAATAAGCTCATCGAGAGTCAAGGATTTTAAGTTCTCAGCTCGATGATCGTCGTCTTCTTTGATTGCCAAGATTTTGGAATAGAGTAAACTAACTTCCTTACAAGCTTGTCATTTGGAATGATTTCTCCATATGATTTGAGACTATTGACAATCGTGGATAATCTATCTGTCATAGCTTTGACATCTTCATCCGGTTTCATCCTGAAATTTTCATAGCTATGAGTTAGAAGACTAATTTTAGATTCTTTTACCTCATTTTGTGCCTTCATGAGTGACTTGTAGTTTGTCCCATATCTCCTTGGCAGTTGTACAAGATGAAACTCTACCGTATTGGATGGCTTTGGAGTTGAGCTGGAACATTCTTGTTTCTCCTTCACTCCACAATCTTGGATGAGTTGAAGGTTTGATGTATCCATCTTCTATAATATTTCATGCTCCCATGTCACTTGCTTGAATGAAATACATCATCATATTCTTCCAATAAGCATAATTAGCTCCATTGAAGAAAGGAGGCTTGTTGACGGTAATGAATCAAGACCGAAGTCGGAGTTTGAAGTGGAGACCATTGATGACTTGATTATCGATGTAACTCTTCCAGATCTACTCAAGAGGCGATTAAACCTTCAAATGAGTCAAGCTCTGATACAAATTGTTGAGTTAATCGATCTACAGAATTGGCCAAGAGGGGGGTGAATTGGCAATTAAAAATTTGGTGGAAGCTTTTGCAGAAAATTGAAAGTAATTGCACATCGATTTAGAGTGGTTCGACTTTCTCAACTAAAGTCTACGTCCACTACTTTAGCTATACACAGTAAGGATTTTCCAACAAATTCACTTATTTTTTCTTTCTTTTGAGGACAAAGAGATAACCTTTCAACTCCCTCAAGAATATACCCCAATTCTTGGGAACACTCTTTCTCAAAGAGTAATACAAATTCACAAACTTAATGAAAATCCTCACAAGGCAAATGTGTTTGCACAATTCTAAAACAAAGAAAGAACACTCAATAATAATACAATTGAGCACAATAAGTGTTCTTGAAAGAAAAAATGAATATTGAATGAAACAGGCTTGAAAATGCTCAAACTTGAGGTTTGATGCTTTCTCTTTGATTCTCTCTTGATTCTTGTTGATTGTTGTTTCTTTTTTTTTTGATCAATGGCTTCTAAGCTTGTTTAAATACTCCTTCAATTGATTCTGAACGTAGGGGATGGTTAGTGGAGTCAATGGAGCCGTTTAAGTGTGAAAACAATTAATAAAACTGCTTGGAGCGTGGGGGGAATCGCTACCCCCTCATAGGGAATCGGTTATCTCAGTGTAAAATTCAAATATTTCGATCGTTACATAGGGGGAATCGGTTCCCTACGAGTAATCTGTTATTTTTCGGAGTCAAACCATTTAGGGGGAATCGGTTCCCTCTGGGCAATCTGCCCATTTTGGTTTGAGAAATGTTAAGAAATAATTTTTGACTCGATTAAGGCTCGAAATACTTTGTAAATTTGTTTAAAAGATTAAAACATATTTTTTACACTTTAGTAAGGATTAAAATGAATTTTGAAATACTTGGAGTAATATTTTGATATTCGAATAGATTTATCGAATATATATTTTTGAAAATGATTAGAAAATCTTGAAATCCAATATTATTTAATTTTTTATATCGAAACATCAAAATGTTTTCGACACATATATTGTGACTCATTTAAGTCGGTTCATGCAGAGCCCAAAACAGTCGCACATGGATGCTGCTATAAGGGTTGTTAGATACTTGAAGCAAAAAAGGGGTTTGGGGGTTTTGTTAAGCCAGAGAGAATTTCGATTGGTTGCTTACTGTGATTCGAATTGGGCGGCGTGTCTGATGTCAATGAAGTCAATAAATGGCTTCTGTGTAAAGCTTGAAGAGTCACTAATATCCTGGAAATCGAAGAAGCATAACACGGTGGCTAGATCGTCTGCAGCATGGCAATCGTAGCAGAAGAAGTTGTTTGGTTAACAGGTTTGATAAAAGATTTGGGTGTTGAATTAATAAAATCAGTGAGGCTTTTTTGTGATAGCAAGGTAGTGTTTCAGATTACGACGAATCCAGTATATCACGAAAGGACCAAGCACATTAAGGTGGATTGCCACTTTGTGAGAGAGAAAATCAAGGAGAAGCTCTTACAGACAGAGCATGTAACATCCACAGAGCAGCTTGCAGACGTGTTTACAAAAGCGTTGGGATCTGCACAACACAACCGACTAATATCCAAGTTGGGGCTAAAAATTAGTTTTACCTCCAACTTGAGGGGCGGTATAGAAATGGTTGGTTGTCGAAGTTAGTTAGGGTTCAGTTAGGTAATTAGGTGGATAGGCTGATTATTGTTTGTATATAAAGGATTTTATACATATTGTACAGATAATTGAATACAAGAAAAAGCATTTTTAACAAAGATTAATCAATATTGCTATATTAATTACATCATTCAAGTGATGTTATTTAAGTAAATTCTGTCTAAGGCGGCCGAACAATAATGGGTTTTAGTATATACGAATTATTATAATGTTTAAATGTTTATAGATGATTTAAATTTGACAGTGATGGTCTACCTCATTTGATATATAAAGATATTATCCAAAATCGTATTGGATTGACTAAGTATTTGTGTATTAATAAAGAAAGTCAACTCCTCTTACATGAAACTGCATTCTGAACTTGAAAGGTTTAATAAATGAATAAAAAAAACATCATTAATATTTTTAACTTAAAATCATAGCCATTATTCACGTAATATCACAAATCTAATTTAAACCAACATATACAAATTGAAAATAAAATAAAAACCTGATGTATTCGTAGCTGCATTCGATAATGAATGGTTTTGTGCATTGACTTGTCTAATCTATTCATTATGTGATTTTGTAAAGATTTTGTAGGGCATTCTAATTATGATTTATGACACGTTGATGTTTGAGATACAAGAGAAATTTATATATTATGAAGTTTGTGGTCTTTACATCTATAATAAATTTATATTTTCTCATCTATAAAGATAAATAAGATCGATTAAATCATATTAAATTATTTTTTATTTGATTTAATTTTTATTTATTTTATATAACTTGTTATTCTGTTTAATAATTCAAACATAAAGATTTTAAAAACTAGGAAGAAACCTCAATTAAATTTATAAACACCTCATAATCATAGAGTCATAATATACACGGAATTTAGAACACTCTAGGCAAGGAGTAGTGGATAAGGATGATCCAGCATTTTTATTTAAGGCAAAAGATAATTTTTGCTAGTAACTCAATTTATCATTTTTTATCTTATCATATTTTTGTATTAATTTAGTCATAAAAAATGCTCAATTGCATCATTTTATACCTACCATAAACTTAAAACCTTAAATTTAAATATTAAATTATAATATGGTAAACTTTAAACCCTAAACCTTAATTAATTTAAATTTAGGATTTTAAGTTAGGGATAGGATATACAATGATACAATTGGACAACATTAAAGGTTAAATCGATGCGAAAATACGTTAAGGATAGAATAATAAATTAAGTTACTACAAAGACAAAAACAACATTAAACCTTTATTTAATATTTCCAGAAGCATCCGTGATGTTTTGAAATCATAAATATCTCGTCCATAAAATCCTGAGATATTTGGGATATCTTAGCATTTCGTCGACAAAATCCACCTTTTCCCATGGGCATTCCGTGGATCAATTCCCTTCCTAGTTGGATGATAAAACGTTGAGTAAACTACATAAATGGTCACCTAGTTATAGGATAATTCTTTATTAAGTCCCTTAATTATTAAAATATCAAAATTGTCCTTCAACTATAGAGAGTTATTTTCTTGAGTCCCTTGACTATTAAAAGTACAAAATGGTCACCTGATTACTCGTTATGTTCCAAACTTGTCTTTTTTCATTAAAAATTTGATGGTAGTTTGAGTTTTATGTTAACCTGTTGATTGAAATATGATAAAATCTGATCTCGTAATCTCAAACAACAATCATATTTCAGTCAACATATTAATACCCAACTTAGATGATTTTAACTTTTTAATGGGAAAAGATGAGTTTGGAATAAGGTTGTTCATGGACGATTAAATTGTATCGTTTAGCCTAAACAATCGGTTAACCGTTATAACGGTTATAAGATTTTTTTTCTAACCGTAATCTAACTATTAAGAAACAGTTAACCGCTAATAGTTAACCGTTATTAACGGTTCGGTTACAAAGTAACCTATGGTTAACCTATTATAATTATTTGTCAAAAATTTTCATAATTCATACTAAAAAAGTGTAGCAGTTAACACATACTTACATCGGTATAAGTGAATAAAATAAAAAATATATAGAACTTAACGCATACTTGTACCAGTGTAAGTATTTTTCTTTATTTACAAAGAAATAAAATAAAAAAATTTATTAAGTTATTTGAGTACAAATTTTATTAAATATATATACATGTATTATTAGAATTAATAGAAAATTATATTAATTTATTTGTGTAAAAATATAATAAATTAGAAATATAATTATAAATTTAAGTTATTAACGATTAACCGTTTATTAAAATCGTAACCGTAATCTTAACTGTTAACCATCATTTTTAGCTGTTCGATTAACCGAAACCGTTTACTATTAACGGTTTTTTAACACCCCTAGTTTGGAACACAATGAATAGTCGAGTAACTATTTTGTAACTTTAATAGTCAAGATACACAACAAAGCAAATTACTCTAATCGAGGGATCATTTTATAACTTTTAATAGTTAAGGACTCAATAAAATAATATCTTATAATCAAAGGACTATTTGTGTACTTTACCCTAAAATGTTTTGATAATAAACGAAAGTTTAGCGTATATTTCTTAAAACATTATTACATTCAAATCAAATGAATAAATGAAACAATTCAATCATGATTTGAGATGAGAGCAACATGTTAATTAAGGTGTGGGGCATACTCCAAATTAAAAAGCATCCCTTGGGAGTTTCATAAGCTGACAACTAGCCTTGGTTTTCTGGTTGGTTTTACGTATCGAACATTGATCTATACAAATTTAATAATACTTTAAAAAATTATGTGGTTTCAATTTGTTCATGTATGCAAGTTATATTCATGTGATGTTTATTGTATTTATCATTGTTTTTTATATGTATAAAATTGTTTATAGATGTCAAATTAATCATAGGCGGAGTAGCATAGTGATAGGTCTATCCTTAATTCGAGATAAATATTTGTCACTTTAAAATTTAATTTTTAATTAATTTTAATTATTAATTGTGTTATTTTAAAATTTTATTTGTATTCATATATATATATATATATATATAAATTTATGTTATTAATATAAATATGCTTGCTCACAAAAATATTTTTAGATTTACGACTGAAATCATAATCTTTTTATCTTCTATTATTAATATATAATTATAAATGGTCTAAAAGTAACTTACCAATATATTATTTACAAATTGTTGTTTAAACTTTTTCCCATTGAAAATAATTTATTTAAAAAAATAATGAAAAGAATTTAGAATCGATATTTACGATGCAATTAAAAAAATAGGTACAAATTTTGAGTGCACCATTAAACTATGAATTGCCCAATCAGGCTAGTTTTGGTTTACCTTTTAATTACAATTGTAGTTATTACGTATCAAGCTATATTCCAGCCCGTTTGTTTTGTCTGGTTTCACCTATTCACTTTATATATTATCTCTTGATGTATACGTTTGGACTCTGTATTATATCAAGATATATGTGTTTATTATCAAATGATCTAGTTAATCTTTGAATAAATATTATTTTATATACGTCCTAAGCTTATCCAAAAGAATTATATTATTAAGATTAAATTTATAATTTTGATGAAGTAATATGTATTTATATAACACTAACAACCAATTGTCCTAGTGAGTGAGACATTAGATCCATCAAGTAAGGTCAAAAGTTCAAATCTTGGCTTTTGCAAATGAAGTAAATTAGATTGGGAGGGTCGCATCGCCTCTGCAATACCTTATTCAGATTAATCGATTAATAAATTAGATACTAGCAGTTATAGAAAAACTATTTATATAACGATATTAGCACTCCTCTCATTTAATATTTAAATAACGTCTCTCGTATACAAAACGTTAAAAAGAATTATATACATTACATTTTATTTTACATCAAATGAAATTTAAGTTCTCAAACATAACAGTATATTAACTTGATGAATACTGGTATAAAGAATATATTATTATTACGTAAAAAAACTTCCTTTAGAAAGGGTTAGTGTACTATTTAACTTTACCTTCAATATGTATTTTGGTCCTAAGATTAGCTTGGAGCTATAATAAAAAAGTGAAAGCCATGTTGGTATCAAATCTAAGTCGAGGGTCAGATTGCATTCAACAAAATATCAGGGGTTAAATTACAGTAGGAAGACAGACAGGGACTAAACTGCACCCAACAAAAAGTGAAGAGTCAAATTATATAGCTTTTTCCAAAACCAGAGGTTAAGGACCAAATATATACATTTACCCGAGAATAACACCAAATGATGTAGGCGTGTGTTGTTGTGTTTGGCATTACATTAAAATAATAATAATGAAGTTTACAACAAATGGTGAATGAACGTAGGCAAAAAAGAAAAACACCAAGAAACATAGCCAAAACAAAAAATAAGAATAACAACAACACTACTTTTTCACATTGCACACATCTCCATCCCCATCCCTTTTCTTCAATAAATAAAAACAAATCCCCGACACCATATTTATAAAATTAAATTTTCAAACACAAAACAAAATGAAACCTTGTTATTTCCTGCCCTCGTGCACCGGTTTCCACTTTTTGACAAGTAATTTCCAAGGGAACTATTCGCCATTGAAGAAGCTTCAATCAGAATACGGTTTGGCCTTGACCTATACAGAAGTTCTTCTTCTTTGCGGTTTGGTTATCGATGTTGAGAACAATTTTCCCAGCGTCACCTGTTTTGAAGCTGCCGGAGATCACGGATTCATCGGCCGGACCTACTTTTCTCGTCTTTGATACGATCACGGTGTATCCATCTTCAGCTGTTGGCACAAATTCGGCTCCATAATTCACGTCCCATCCCACAACTCGTAGCTCCCAGACCAGAGTAGATTTCTGCTAATTCATCAACCAAATCTAGTTCATAATTGAATTGAATTCAACCCAGCTTTAGATTGTTATTTGATCCATGTTTCTTTTATCTTACCTCAGTTATAGGGAATTCAACGGTGTGTTTGGTTGCTGGTTTGATTGTATCCTCAGTTGCAGCATCAGCAACGCTAAATTCTTGTTCACCCTCCCTGCTCAATCCACCATACTGAACTGGTACTTGTTCAGGGGCAATATATCTATTACATATAATAAGTTATTTTTAATTATGTTTCTAATATGTTCAACCAATACAGAGAAAGAAATTGTTGGAGTCCACTTGCCTGAAAAGGATATCGGTTGATTTGGATGGACCTGCAAACACAAACTTGCTCTTGGTTCTCTGGGTAAGGAAAGGGCTAATCATCAGATTGAATGCCAAGTACCACCATGGAACATTGATAAACACCTTCAAAATCCAAACCCATATTCAAAATTTGTTATAATTTAACATCATGATACAAAAAGATTTATTTCTTTTTTATATATTTGAGAATTCTATTGTATGTTTACCTGTTTGGCCACGAACTCTGGATAATTATCCTGAAGCAAGTTAAGGGCATGGTTGGTAGCTTGTCTGAGTTCCCTTTTGGTGAGTCCAGGAGAATTCTTGAGATCATTAACCTGAACTATTGTATTGATACCGGTGGGACTAAAGTCAAGTTTTCTGATGCTTTTTTCCAAGAATTGAATCCTCCATCTCAAGAATTTGGATCGCTTTTCATCGTCTCCGAAAGTGTTGTGATACAATTCTTTGTTTTGGAATTCTCCGTAAGCGTTGTAACATACAGGGTGACCTTCTTTGTCAAATCCGTGCATGAAAACCACTTTCTCCAGTTCATTTCCGAGGTCTTCTTCCAGCAAACCTTCAACTCCGAATTCCTTTCGCCAGATGACAGTGTTTTTGAGCATGGTGAATGCGTCCTTCACTTTGAAATCCCTTGCCCTCAAGAATTTCAATAGGATCACGTCACTCCTTTCGTCTGCGAGGAGTGGGATTCCCCATATGGATACCTCTTCCGGTGGAGGTGGAGGAACATCGGCTTCCTTTGGCTCATCTTTCGGAACCACCTCTGGTTCCACCGAAGAAGAGGCAGTTTTTTCTGGTTTCTCAGCCGGAGGAGGAGGAGCTACTGCTACTACGGACTCCTCAATTGCTTCTACAGTCTTGGCACCATCGTCCTCGACGACTGGAGCTTTTTCAACAACCTCTGTTTGCACCACAGTCTCGGCTGGCGGCGGAGTCTTCTCTTCTTCTTCCTTGATTTCAACAGGTGCTGATGCTTCAGCTTCGACTTTTTCAGGAGCTTTCTCTTCAGTTTTTTCTTCAGTTTCAACAGCAGCAGGTTGGTCTTCCTCTTTCTTTTCCTCGGCCGGTGGTTTAGATTCTTTTTCTTTAGCCGGAGGAGGTGGAGGTGGAGCACTGAATTCGTTCTTGTTAAGAGCTTCTTGAATAAGTTGCTTAAGCTCTTCGAGAGCCTTCTTCTGTGCGTCAGGGAGTTCACCGACTATATTGGTTTCATCCTTGAAAGAAGCAGACTGAGTGACCTTGGCTTCCTTTTCTTCAACCTTAGGCTCCTCGGCTTGTTTCTCTTCAACAACGGCCTCGGTTGCAGCAGGAGGCGGCGCAGCCTCCTCTTTCTCCTTCTCCACAACCACTTCCTCGGCAGGCGCAGCAGCTGCCTCAGGCTTTAGAGTCTCCTCGGCCATGATATAAAACTAAAGCAAAGAAGAAGAAAGCAGAGATAGAGAGAATCTGAGAGAGTAGGTATTGGGTTTGAAAACTGAAGGGGAAGGTGGGGCTTAAAATGGGGGGAGTGATAAGAAGAAATGGAGGCGACGTTGGTTGGAGATGGAGAGAACCATTCTGCCAGGCCCGTTTGCCAGCTGTTATTATCCCACTTTGTATTTGGACCCCACCCTTTACATGTTTTTCTCTTTTTTCATAATTATCATTTTTCTCTTTTAGAATCGTAATTAATTGGAATCAAATCCATATTAACGGCTAATTCTAAACCCTTGTCTTTGCCATTGGTTGGATTTTTACTTGTATTTTGAAATTTGTTACCAACCCCACCTCACTATTTGTGTTATTTATTCAAATATCACAATTCAAAAATTTGTTTTTAGAAAATGTCTACTTTTATTATTATTTATAAAAATGCATCTAAATATATCATATAGACAAAAGATATGTCACATCAAATTTATTTCTTAAAAAATATTTTTAGTAAAATTTGTTTTTATTATATAATATCAATATTGATATTATCATTTATTTTTATTTAAATACTATTACAAGTATTTTTTATTTTTGATTTTGTGAATGCACATTTCCACTTATTTTTGTTTATTATTTTTTTAATTGTTGGTTTTGACATTGTCATGACTAATTAAGATAGTACTTATTTGTTATCATATTAATTTTCTCCTCTTTAGATCCTAATATTGAATTTGGATACGTGATTTACATTCGTGGATAATTTTCTCACATTGCACGATCTAATTTACGGTTTATCGGTGATCTTTCAATTACTTGATATCATTTTGTTGTTCGTTTGTCGATGCGATCAATTCTGCTTGTATCTATCTTTTATCGAGTTTATTTAGTTAGGTTTTTATCATTTTTCTTGCATGGTGCTTGTGTGATATTAAGTGACTAGTTTCTTTTGTTATAGAAAAATGTTCTTATTATGCGTTATAGCTTACAATTGTGGTCGTAAACTTCCATTATAATTTGTATACTTTTTTTATTTTTAATAAAACTAATGACTTAAATCTTGTCAAAAAGTAGAAACAAATTGTTAAAAAGATGAACAAGTAAAATGTGTCTCTCCTTTTAATCTAGGTTTTCTCTCAATAATTTTGTGCGTCTTCCACTTCCACTTTCGCTTTGATTTTTGTTTAACTATCGGGGACACCAATCTTATTGTTGATTGTCGATGATCGTTGATCATTGATCATTAGTTCTTTTGTTTATTCATACTATATCATTTGCTTCCCTTTTTCTTGAGTTTTATTTTTAATTTTGAAAAAGAATATGTCATTGTGACACACTTTTCTATGCTATTGTGGCATGATTCTTATGGTTTTTGGCATGTTTTTCGTATATCTTTGTGGTTGTTTTGATGCTCGCACAAAGACCCTCACTATATTTATTTCTTGATTGGTTTGTCGGTGGTAACGTATAAACAAATTTCCTCTTTGCTAATAGGTTGTTTGTTGATATAATCAAAATTGTGTAACAAAGCAACCTGTCACATAGTTTGATTCACTCACCACTATATCAAAATTGTGTAGTGAAGCAACATGTCACATAGTTTGATTCACTCACCACTATATCAAAAATGTGTAGTGAAGCAACATGTCACATAGTTTGATTCACTCATCACTCCTTTTATCACTTCGTAAATCGTCTTGTTCGACAGAAGTAATGAGTTTTTATGAAGGTTATTAGATCATTTTGAGGTTGATCGCCATTCTAAATGGAATGTTTAAGTTTTATTTGTATATTTAGGTTTAATATTTTTATTTTTTATATGAATTTTTTGTGTGACTATTGTCCCTATTTTTCTCTCATAAGTAATGCATTTTTAAAAATATTATATAGAGATCTAATGTATTATCATTTTTTTGAATTCATTAAGTGACCTCAATGATTAAAAGGTGTGTTGTTTTCGTGAGGTTCAGAATTTGAGCAACTATGTCTACAAAGTTTATGTTATCAATAATTAAAAAAAGATTAGAATAGATACTATTTTATAATCACTCTAAATTAATAAAAAAATGTGCTGCCATTTTCATTTTATATGTTTATAAGCTTATTTTTGTACTTATTCGTGTAAAAGTAAATAAAAAAATACCAACGATTAAATGTATCACAATCTCAAACACATTTATAATACATATAACTTGCGTGTTGTGTTGATCATATTTACGTATAGGATACTGTATTTGTTTTATTAAATTCATATTTTTAGAATTAATTATCAAATCTACGTCATGGGATTTGATTTTCTGGGTTATCCGCTTTAGCAAGTTTTGCTAAACGTCGATCTCATCTACTCATCTTCCTATTTTCATGCTCATCTTAATTTAAGCTACCCATCTTCCTAGTAAATTTTCATGATCAACTTTTGTTGAATCATATTATTGTTTTTTTAAATATATGTTTCTCTAAAATTAGTTACTTTAATTGAAATTTGTAACAATTAAATTGAAGATAAGTGAAATGATGGCTAAAATGATAATAGTGTAAATTAATAAAATTTAACGTAATTCAATCTTATCTTACTCCAACAAAACAGGTTTTTAACGGCGTTTTTTAGTCATATTAAAAATGTTTCTACATTTGCAAGAACTAATAATTCACTACAAATATAGATGTCATTAAAAGTATAAAAATATGATATCACATGTATCACAAAATCTATTATATATACTAAAACTCGATGTAGCCCAAAACATTCTTCAAACATCCCTAAAAACTCGTATTTACAACGAATATCCCAAAAGTTACATAAACTATAAAATAATTGCATCTCTTTAAAATAATATCACAATTTTAAAGGTTAAAATCTACTTTATACTTACAGGGAAAACAAGCTTGATCATAAAAAATATTAATACATAATTTTTTTACTAAAATAAATATAATCTTCAAATAATATTCAAGTATTATGATTATAATTAAAGTAAATTTAATTTTTAATTAAAATTTAAATTTAAATCGATATCTAATAAAATTGTTAACGTTCATACGATCCATTAAGAATATAAAAGTATCTGCTAAAATATATTTAAAAGTTAATATGACATGTGGCAATGTATATTTGCAATTTTTTAAAATTTTGTATTAAAAAATAAATAATGGAACTCTTACTTTATACGAAACATTATGTTATCATATTTTGGACATCATCAACCCAATGCGAAAAGCTTTGTAAAATATATTCAAACATTGGCTTAGCACACTTAATCTAAATAATATAATATTCACTCCTTTATTTATTTATTTATTTTTTTCAAATGGTATAAAATTAGCAATAAACCCATTGGCACTTTTGATGATGGGAATGCCTGTCACATAAAAACTAAGGTCTTACTATATAGGGTAAAGTATATAAATAGTCCCCCGACTATAAATATTGTTTTGTTGAGTCTAATGACGGTTAAAAGTTACAAAATGGTCATCTGATTATAAGATGTTACTTTGTCGAGTCATCCGACTATTAAAAGTTATAAAATGATAACTCGACTATTCATTATGTTCCAAACTCATCATTTTTTGTTTAAAAAATTAACGACAATCTAAATTGGATGTTAATATGTTGTCTAAGATATGATAGTCGTTTGAGATTCTATGATCAAATTTTATCATATCTCAAGTAACAGATTAACATTCAGCTCAGACTGTCGTTAATTTTCTAACAAAAAAAGGACAAATTTGGAACATAATAAATAGTCTATGACTATTTTATAACTTTCAATAGTCGGAGGACTCAAACAATTCAACATCCTATAGTCAAGGGATCATTTTATAACTTTTAATAAATTGAGGACTCAACAAAGCAGTACCATATAGTTGATAAACTATTTGCATAATTTACTCTAATGTAAGCCCTAATAATAATAACAAGGCATTATACTATTTATCCCACAATTAGGACAAAACAAGGAGCAAATTATGTATGTGGTGAATTAAATAAAGTGATATGGTCTTTGCATTGTGGTGTGTCATGTTGACTTATGTATATGTTTTCATGTACAATTAAAATTAGGGGTGTACAAAATTATCTGACCCGGTTATTCGATCCGTTGACTCGGATAAAAAAATCGGGTAATTTTCTTAAAAAAAATTACTCGGCCGGGTCGGGTACCCGACCCGACACTTTCCGGGTTTGATCCGAATACCCGGTTAGCTTGTTGTTTTTCAGGCTTTTTTTCAGGCTTTTCTGCACTGTTGTTTCATGAAATATTCATACCCTCATGCTTTGAAAGTTATGCATACTATATTTGTGCTTATTGGGCTAACAATGATGATGTCCAAAAAACTCTTAATATTAGAAAGGTAGGATGTTAAAATATTATTTAATTTGTATTTTTAAAACTTTGAATTTAAAATTTGGATTTACGATTTACTATTATTATATATTTAATAAATAATAATATTATATATTAAATTAAAGTAAACAATTACTTTTTAGAATATTTTAAGGTAACATCGGGTATCCAATTATATAATAATATAATATTATTTTATATATAAAAAGAGTCCTATAATTAAAGTAAACAACTATTATATATTAAATTAAACTAAACAACTATTATTTTAGAACATTTTAATATATGGGATTTTTTTGTATATAAAATAATATTATATATTAAATCAAATAATTATTTTTAGAACATTTAAAAAAAACTGGGTATTCGAGTACCCGTAAAATCTTGATACCCAAAAACCGAGTACCCGAAATATCCGGATCGAGACACATACCGAAAAATCACTGACCCAAATATTCCCAAAAATCTAGGTATATGAATTTACACACCCCTAATTAAAACAGCTGAAAAAATTGAATGAATTAGTGGGGCCAAGCTTCTCATTTCCCATCTTTCAAACAACATTCACACGATTGAAATCCAATATTAGAAGTCACTGAGCAATAAATAAACTTCTAATTCAAATTCCATGCTGATTTGATCAACTAGATTTAAATATTAAAAATATTTAATATTAAAAATATTAAAAATATTTAATATTAAAAATATTTTAAATATTAAAAATATTTAATAAGCA